CACCTGAACGCGTTTATTTTGCGTTTTCTGCTTACATGGATTACCTCGACAGCTATTCACGTGGGTGTGGGTGTGGGTGTAGGTGTTTGGGTAGATGGATGTGTAGGTGTTTGAATGGATGATTGTGTGAGATGTAGGTCTACCGGTAAAGCATTACTTCAGCCACAGCCACATCCAACACTCACATACACACCGATATCTACACACCCACACCACCTACATCCACATCTACAGCCACATTCTAGAATTTCATATAATAGTGTATTCCAAACAGATAATGAAGCATTGAATAATTGATCTAAAATAGTGTTAGCGTCAATAGAGGTCACTCTATTACCGCTAACTGTCCAGTTGCTATATAGTGATTTTCCTCCTTCTCCTCTATGGTCCATATATGTATTTCCATTGGACTTTCCACTGTTTATCTATATATATGTTTTTCTCTGACCAGTTGTTGTTTTTCTCTTCACCGGTGATACACATATCTGATATCCTATCCTATTATTTTTCCTAGCTCTTTCCTCTTCTCTATTATTAAATATATTACATTGTTATATTAGTGTTTATATTAACACTTATAAAATCTTTCATTATCTACCTATTTCCCTTTTCAACATATCAATAACCGGTAAGAATGTTTTCTTTTATTCTACGTAAGACTTCTCGTTCCCGTTGCAGACCGGGGTCTAATATTTAACCGTCTTCTGGCCTAAACCATAGAGTGGGGCAAGAGTCTAGGACATACCATAACGAGAGGCTTACAATTGATGGAGAAGTTGGGCAATTTTTGTCTGTATTTGCCCGTTTCTTTTTGTTCATTTTTTTTGTTTAGTTGTTTCTTTCATTTATGATTCATATTTGATCCTTTTGCTCATAACTTTTTCATTCATATACCATTTTCACTCATTACCACATTCATCCTGAATTTTTTCGCGTTCATAAACACTATTTTACATATATATTACATTTATTTTGTATGAATACATTTAAATGAATAATGACGATCATGTTCTACATTCCGCACAATCGTCACCGTACGCTCTTATAAATACTTACATAACTTCGTATTCACTAAAATCTACCTCGAAAGAAAAACCACATTTTAATCTTTCGATACCATTAAACCGTAAACGTAGAAAATCGATCATTCCTTCATCACATTTACCAACGAAATTAACAAAATTATTCGAAATGGATAACGAAAAAGATAATTCATCAAGTAAAAATTATTCATTAGAAGAAACAAAAAAACAATCTGAACACAGTACTGATACTACTTCAATAAATCAAACAAACAACAATTATGATAACAATGATTTATTACCCATAAAAAAGAATGAGAATCTTATTAACAAAGAAGAAACTGATGATGAAAATAATTTTGATTCTTTTATTATACAAAATTTTGCACCATTTTCCGGTGAAGAAGATGTTAATCAATGGTGGAGTGAAACCAAAAGGAGATTTAATCGATTTTTAATTCCGAGAAATTTACGTTTGACGGCCATTCCATTATTAGTGGAGGGACCCGCAGAAAAGGTATAC